TGCGAAAAGTGTCCCACTTTAGTGTGACGAAAGCGATTTACATGCAGGCCAAGGCAATATAAAACATTCATAGCTCATAGCAGGGAACAACTGCATTCGCATCTAAAGCATGTAGAAGGCACATTTAGTTTTACTCACAGATTCATAATCATAACTAGGCACAGTTATTTTTGCCAGCGAGATTCGCCAAGGGGCTCAGCGGAAATCGAATCCCGGACCATGGGCACAAGGAGGAAGTGAAAGAGGGCGCAGTCAACTGGATTAACCATGACTTGCCGGCGACGGTCAGTTGTTATAGCACGCGACTGTCCGTGGCGACTGATACTTAGTCCAGGAGATATAGTCCGTGGCCGATAGCCGGCAGCCAGTCATACTTAGTTCAGCATTCTTAGACCGTGGGCGACCATCGGCGTCGAGTCATACTTAGTCTAGTATACTCTGTCTGCAGGAAACCGCTGGCAGCTCATCATACTTAGTCACGCGTACTTCGGCGACGAGTCATACTTAGTCCAGTATACTTAGTTTGTGGGTGACCATCGGCGCGCGCAGCTTGCCACCGAGTGACGAAGTAACAAGAGATACCGTTGCGGGGATATGACGTCAGATTTTCCGGGCAGAACTCAAATAGCAGCCTAAAAGGTGCACTACACCTCCTACCCTCGCGATTACATCAGTTACCGCAAGGGGTTCCTTGCCCCTCAAGAGCACTTAGAATTCGAGGCCCTACACTCACCCGTGGAAGAAGCAGAACCTGTGGAAATATTCTCATTTCGTCATGCTCGTGGCACAGTCGGGCTCAGAATGAACTGAAACTTGTAATTTTGATAGACCAGAGAACAGAACAGTATCACCGTGTGCGCAGCACTTCGGAAACCGCTGTACGCTTCCCGTAAGCAAGTATAGGAAGTCATAACATATGCGTAATAGATTCATGGCACATTTTTTGACGGGTTTAGCAAGAAAAAAAGAAATAAAGACACGACTCTTTTTTTATTAGAGTGTACATTGTTTTCAGTATTGCTTTCAATTATCTTTATAGATGCCAATTGATTATAGTGATATTTTTTGGTTATTTTTTTTCTCCTGCGTATTTCATGAGCACTTATTTCACATATCTTTCACAACCGCCGTAGCGGTAAACAATATTGATAAAGAAATAAATAAAAGTAAATAAAACGTAGACGTTCAGTTATTCAAAAGGCGCGGGAACCATGAACTCTCAGAAGTTTCGACAAATCAGAATCGCCTACGTGGTCTGAAAGATGAATACATACCGACGCGTCTGAAAATTACGAACGCCATTGGCGCAACTTATTTCGCATAGGCTAGATGCTAAAATTAGAAAACGCTCGGTTTGAGGAATGGAAGGACCAGCTTTTCCTCAGCGACCCCTCTAATGACGTCAGGACCCCCGCGGCCGCAAGGCTTGAGGCGGGGTCTCCACCTCGGGACCAATAAGTCTGCGAGCAGCGGGAAGTTGCCTCGTATTTTCCGTTGCGGACGGTGCTTCGAAAGCTACGCACACCCCGGACCAATGAACAGCCTCCATTTCATCCCCTGACCCAGCAGTCCGAGCATGGAAGGAAGCGCGATCACGTGGCGAAAGATAGACGGACGAGTGGTCCAACGTGCACGTACAGTTTCCACCGCACTGTCAGATTACGGGGTGAACGGAGTTTATAGGAGTTGCTGCTACGGGAAGAATCGTTAGACCGAAGGGATCGCTGTCGCTCGGTTTCCCGCGGGACGGAGACGTTGTTAAGGGGTATAAGGGGGCACTCTCTGCCATCATCCCGTCACGGGACCTCGTTTAGGCACCGAAAGGTTACCGACCCACTGACGTACTGCAACGAGGAAGTTTCAAAATCAGTAGAGAGGTTTACTATTGCCATAGTCTCCTCTATGCTCACAAAGCCTGGCAATTCAACGACGGAGCCATAGAGTGCCCTGTCGCAGATTTGCAGCGCGAGGATCTGGTAGCACAGAGCATAAAAGAGCCGTTTCTCGGGGAACCTGGATGTCAGCGCACAGCTTTTGTGCGACGAGGACCCGAAGCACACTTGTTCGCTCGGGAGAAATGTGTTTCGGTGTCTCGCCGCCGCGGGGCGCCAGAAACGTGGCTTTTCTTTCATCCGTTGTCTGCCGCTCCAACTTTTTCATTTCGGCGGCCGCTTCTCGAGGCTATGGTACTGCGTATAGGAGCAAACGCAAGCTCCGCGCATTTGCGTGTCGTCCCCATGCGCCAATTCAAGACGCAGTTTGGGCTTCCACGCACGTTCAGTGTGGGAGACGCAACGCTAACACGAACGCATGGTGCTCGCGTTCGCTCGTATAAGCGATACAAAAACACACTATTGTAAGAAGGCGCATTTATCGTACGGATGTTCGGACAGAGCGATGATTGCCCGCTTTGGAAATAGGTGCCTTGTACGTGAATCGATGATCGTCTTTGACACGTAGTCAAGGTTACGTGTTCGTTCAATGCTAGGCTTCTTTTTGCAGGACGCGCGTGATGTGTGTGATATGCCACGGAAGAAAGCTATTCGGAGTGCAAGTTTGCCTGCTTCTTGCGTACGGGTTGCAGTGACGTCAAAACGCCGGGCTCTGATTAGCTCTGTTTGGAAGGATAGTCGGTAAACTTCAGTGCTAGCTGCCTAGGCCCACCCCCCATCCTTCCAATCGGAGCCAATCAGAGCGCGACGTTCTGAAGTCACCGCAACCCCTACGCAAGCTGTAGACCAGGCTGTAAGATAGACAGGTGGGGAAACGAGAGCCAAATGAGCGACCGGATTGTGTCCCCCTCGGTTTTCTCTTTTTCTGTGGCGCCATCCATGTGGAGCACCGCGAACTCTCACTCCGAGTGGGCGACCGGTGGTGACCGGCTAAACTGACGGAGATGATTTCTCGTGGATTTTCAATGGATGACTTTCGTGCTCTCGGTTTATTTTGCGCACTCTCCCATAAAGTTTCATGCAAATGCGATTCCGATTTTTTTCTTCTCGCCGTAGCGCCATCTGTCGCAAATCGGCGGTACCCGCAAGCAGACGAGTACACAATCCGGTCACGGCGCTGCGGTAGGCTTCTATGGGCCGTTTCCCCACCTGTCTATCTTACACCCTGCTGTAGACGAACTTGCACACCGCATTGCGCATGCTAAAAGCGCGTTTTACAGCCCAAGACCGCGATCATGAGGAGACTATTGGAACTATCTGTACTTGTATTGACCTCAAGAAGCGACGTAAAAAAAAGTCCGGCTCTACGCAGTACGTTACTAGCTTCCTCCTTTCCGTGATGAATTAAGGTATATATGGGTGGATCCTAAACTAGCTTTATGTCGTTTTATCAAGGCGTACACGTTTCAAGCGTCAAAAGCGTCTTTTCTCCTCTCGACAACCAAATCTTGTAAGAAGTATGTCGCGCGGGGCATAAATCATGCGTAAAACGTTGTTTTTTTCCCTCTTTATCTGACAACGATTATACCTACTCCGTTGTAGAGGGTAAGTGGGAGAAGAGGAAACCCGGTTTTTCTCGCCGCAAAAATGAGCTACACATTGCCGAATACTACTCTGCGCCCAACTGTAGCGCTAGCGGTTGGGACAGGCCATATGTCACCTGTCCCAATTGCTAGCGCTGCATGACGCTAAGTGCCGAAGCCTATAGGCTTCAGCACTTAGCGTCATCCCGTGCAAACGTTAAAAGTCAATTTCCGAAAATTTTCAGTGAGGAAATGACGGTCACGAGAGCCCGCGGATACCTGGCGTTGAATGGCGTCTGCTACCGGGAACGGAAGCTATTTTCTCATTGAAAATTAACGAAAATATTCAATAACTTTTTTTTTTTTTTACCAGATAACGTTACGTTTCGATGCTTTGAGATCTGCTCCTACCAGCAAATGCTACATTTGTGTAAAAACTGAGCAATCGGCAAATCGTAACTAACGCTTGCTGTAAGAGAAACATGGTTCCCCTTTCAAGGCAAACACTCCACATGTAACCTTAAGTCTTAAGTAGTATAACGCCCCCTTGCTCCCAAGAGGTCAGCCCCGAAATACAAGATAATATTGTCAACTCAACCAAGTAAAGCGTAAATAATATTAATGCCAGGACAATCTAGACAGATGATTCTCTGAATATATTTACCCAGCTAACGCCAGCAGCAGCTTAAGTATGCATGCTTACGGACGTTATATAAAGTCATAAATAAATTTTCTTTTGTACGACTTTGCCTCCAAGCAGTTCATAAACGTTGTTCCTACCGTAAATTCTCGGACACCCCGTGAAACGATTGTCTCCAGAATGGGATTTTAACCGCGTCACGAGCGGTCCGTTATGATCTCGTTCCGCGATTCTTTAAATGTTGAATTAGCCTCGGATTTTAATCTCGCGACAAGAAAACTCGTTGTTAACGAGTCCCGCTGTTCTATATAGAGCGAAACGGGACGTGTTCATGCCTTCCTTATGAAGATTAGAGGGTCCTTCCTCTGCACCCCTGCGCTGGTGTTGTCTCATCATAGATTTATATCCAATTTCGGGAAGTCACCCTTTCGGCTCATACTTCCCAATGCCCACTTTTTTTGTTTGTTTTTCTTCTTTATTTTAGTGGGTAAGCGGGGGTCATACGTTGTTTTCTTGCTGGGGTCGCATATAGCGTTTTCATTATCTTTAGCAACAAGACTTTATTTCCCCGTATTTGTCTCTGTTAAAATACTCTTTTCTGTAAAAAAGAAAAAGAAAGACACGCATGAAAATTTGGAAAGAAAAGCTAGCGCCAAGAACGGAAGTAACTTTCGGTCATAAACGAGTAGGGTAGAGATCTGAGAAATGATTCAAACACCGCACGCTGCTGGAGGCAAAGGCTCTTTTCTTATTTGTGTGCAAAAATTGTAAATTTCACATCGATTTGCAAGACTCTAATTTCTTTCACAGGTTTGGATGATTGGAATTTTTGTTGTTATCGTATAGCATATGATGGTGATTTTTCGTTTTCTTGTCGCTTTTCAGGATTCTATGCCTATCGAGTGTGCGGACTCGAGGGCGACTGGTTGTGGGGAAATTGGACCAACTACACCGAGTGCTTGGGACTCATCAACCACGAGGTAATGTGTTCTTAAGGCGGGCCTCGTTTTTCCTAACGTGGACATGGTAGAAGCTGCCTTTCTCTTTACCGTGCCTATGAAACAGCTTGAGAGACGCGAGGCGTAGCTGAATGCGTTGACCCTTCTCTCTTCGTGATCAATATCTTGGCGTTCTGATTGGCTACCGAGCGATGGTAAGATGCTCGGGTATTGCTACATCCTGCGTTTCTTAAAGTGTCCGTTCTCAAGTTTCCAGCGACCATATCTGCTGCGTTGCTGAAGCGTGATACAAAGAATTGAACAAGACAAGATCGAAAATGGCGGACTCGCTTCGAATACTTCTATCATTCCCTTTTACGAACAACGTCCGATGGGGACGTTGCCGAACTTCAAAGCCGTCAGGAAGTTAACTCGGAGGCTGACTATGGTCACATAATTACCAAAGACGACCATTAGACGCTTTATCTTATGCTACAATTGAAAACGAGCGTGTTGGTTAATAGATACAAAACTTGAAAGTATAAAACAGAGAGGACGAGGACGAGAACAGGACATCTTTCATTTAGCAACAACATAGAATGGCACAACGATAAAAAACCGCCCCCAAGGGTCTCAGCGTTCTCAAAGAGGGAAAGGAGATACTAGTTATGAAGGAAAGGGAATACACTAAAAGAAAAGTTTGAAAAGCGCATCAGTAATCAAGTTATTTTCGATTAGTTAAAATTAACCTTGGTCATTGTCAATGATAATGCAGAATTATTCTTGTTTGCAGTCCAAAAAGGGAATTGTACTATAAATATAAGAGTCTAAAAATCTGTAGCGTCACGACGAGGTGTCAATATTCTAGTTATCTCTGGTGTTAAGAATTCGACCTCTGTCTTTGTCAATGATAATGACGGTGCAGAAATGTTGTTGTTAACAGTCCCCATGGCAAATGACTCGATGATTTCTCTCCCAAATCTGTTGTTGTGCCCTCCCAGTATCTTAGTATTAGAAAAATGAGGAGTACAGTCATCGCATGTGCGGCTGTGAACGACAATGGGGTGATACGACTCGGTTGAAGCCTTTGATGCTTCCAAGTTATGTTCTCTGAGTCGGTGGTTGTGGCAGTCAGTACATTGGACAGACTGGCAGTCAGTACATTGGACAGTTGTGGCAGTCAGTACATTGGACAGACTGGGAGATGCGTCAACCACCGACTCAGAGAACATAACTTGGAAGCATCAAAGGCTTCAACCGAGTCGTATCACCCCATTGTCGTTCACAGCCGCACATGCGATGACTGTACTCCTCATTTTTCTAATACTAAGATACTGGGAGGGCACAACAACAGATTTGGGAGAGAAATCATCGAGTCATTTGCCATGGGGACTGTTAACAACAACATTTCTGCACCGTCATTATCATTGACAAAGACAGAGGTCGAATTCTTAACACCAGAGATAACTAGAATATTGACACCTCGTCGTGACGCTACAGATTTTTAGACTCTTATATTTATAGTACAATTCCCTTTTTGGACTGCAAACAAGAATAATTCTGCATTATCATTGACAATGACCAAGGTTAATTTTAACTAATCGAAAATAACTTGATTACTGATGCGCTTTTCAAACTTTTCTTTTAGTGTATTCCCTTTCCTTCATAACTAGTATCTCCTTTCCCTCTTTGAGAACGCTGAGACCCTTGGGGGCGGTTTTTTATCGTTGTGCCATTCTATGTTGTTGCTAAATGAAAGATGTCCTGTTCTCGTCCTCGTCCTCTCTGTTTTATACTTTCAAGTTTTGTATCTTATGGGCATATATTTTAATGAAGGATCGGGTATTTTTTCCGTTTCTACAATAGAGCGTTTTAGTATTGGGTACAGGAGCAAACGCGGCGAGCACAGTGCGTTTCCGGTAGCGTTAGCGTGCTCCACGCTGCGCATGCGCGGCGTCGTCATGCGCCCTGATTCAAGACGCAAGTTTTGGGATCCCGCGCGGGCCTTGCCGTCTCGGTGCCGTGCGGAGATCAACTCGTCTGGTTCTTGCGCTGGAGTTGTGATGACGTCAGAAAGAAGCCGAACTCTGGTGGACCTTTTTCCGAGAAGCGTTCTGCGCACGCGCGAGCGCCCGATGCCAAGCGGCGGAAGTCGGAACGAAAAATCGAGGAAATTCGGAAGGAGGCTGTATATCAGCGAGTAGAACACGTAACTGCAGCATATATATAATTGTCTTACACAAAAAAAAAGAACGTCGACGGAAAGGAAAACACGACGTTTGGGTGGACGCTACGGATGCCCCTCTTTAAAGTCGCGTTGGGCAGGCACCGCTGCTCAGAGAGCGAAGAAACTGGTAGCCTAGCTCCCTATATCGATTGGTAGCGCAGGTAGGTCACTTCCTCGATTTATAGTTCGTGCAGCCGCCGCCTGGTGCCGTCGGTATGTGGAAAAGGTCCCTTGGCTTTGATTGAAGGATAGTGGGTAGACCTCAGAGCAAGCTGCCTTGAAGTCTACCCACTATCCCTCTTTTAGAACCAATCAGAGCTCGGCTTCTTTCTGATGTCATCGCAACCCCTGCAAAAGCAGCAGACGAACTTGCGCTTCGCATTGGCTGGGGCTCATGGCCGTCTTAGTTGCCGCTGACGAGACGTCAGTGCGCGCCATGTATAGACGCTTGTAAGTACGTCCTCTGGGCGCCGCCATTTTGTTGCTGGAGTGGGTAGATCGTCCGGCAGTTAAGGACTGCTGAAGCGTACCCACGGACTCAGCAGTGCTTGACTATCAGACGATCTAACCTCTCTAGTAGCAAGATGTCGGCGCCCAGAGGCCGGGATTCTATGAAGCGACGAAATAAATTGTCGATTATTTCTTGCAGCCTCAAGAAATGTCATCCGTGGTCTCTCTAGCGGTCAGCTACATCCTCCTGCTCTTCTCGCTTCTCTCTCTCATCTTCCTTTCTGCTACGATGTTTATTTTTTGCTACTTTCGGTACGTCGCCTTTCTTGTTTTGAATCCTTTTCTGACGATAATAATCCCCGGAGACGGGAACAAGGGGGGACAAGGGACAAACGCAAATCTCCAAACACCGCTAGGTGTTTCGAGATTTGTGCTTGTCCTTTGACCCCCTTGGTTCCCTTCTCCAGGGATTATCATCGCATTCTTTACAGCCCGCCTACACCGTTGCGTTATTTGCTTTATTAGCAAATCCCTTTCTCTCTCTCTCTCTCTCTTGTATTCTAAGGAAACATGGTGGTCCACTTTCCCGCACAGCATGTGGGAGAACCAATTGGTGCTATCTCAGCGAATAACCAGGCTAAAAATATGTCTAAACTAAAAAAAAAAAAACAGCAAAAAAAAAAAAAACGAAAGAAAAACAGTTTCCGTTTTAAAACTGTGCATGAAAAAGCGCCACGTTCAACACTACAGCATAGATTGTAGTTTGTTTTATCTAAATATATGTTTAGACTCTCCAATGGGTGAGCTTCCTCTGCAGATCGCAGCGATTGGCTCTTACAAGTGCATTGCGGGATAGTAGGCACTCCATATTTATTACGGCGTGTGATGCAATGCAAATTGTCATTACGGATATGAATATAGACCTAGGTTACAAATATTTTACCGAACATCAAAAAGAAAATCAAACATGAATACCGATTTATACTGAGATACTGTAGGCATCAAACCCCCGCTTACTTTATTACATTATCGTAATTGGAATTTTAATAAAGACAACAATGAAACGGACCCGTATATCTGTTGTCAAAACCTCTTTCTCTGTAAAAAGAACAACAACAAGAACAACTGAAGGCCGATTTTAGTTAGTCATCCGAAACGTATATGGCAACACAAGTGGAAGGGCACAAGACACAGTTTCTGACGAGTTTCGAGATAAAGCTTCAACGATTTCCCTTGACAACATTGTGCACCCCGCAAGAATAGGCCACCTCTGAGAGAACAAATTAACTCGGCGAAAAGAGCGCCCGCCTTAAAAACCCCGCTAAGGCTTGCCCTCATCTTGATTTGCACATTGTCACCAACACAAATACAGGGCGCTACAACCCTTACGATGAACCGCGGACGACGCCACGAGCCTCCAAGGCCAATGCGCTGGGTTGGCCCGGACGGCTCGAAGCATCGCCTGCGGTCGATCGTGAAGTGAAACGAAATATACGCTTCTTCTCACCCTAAGACAAATTATAACAAAGGCTACAGACCACAAGCTCCCATCAGAAGCCGGTTTGAAACCACGTGATGTATTTCTCAAACTTCCTTATCGAAGCGGAGCACTGATCAAGCACGTTGGAGTGATGCATCACGTGGTGTCTGGGTCGCTCGTGGTCTGACGCTAGTTGTCCGTGGCTTTGGATGTGGTTTGTCGTGAGGGTGAGACGAAGGGTAATTCGATTATCGCTACCGTATGTCCCTCACAGGAGCGAGACAAGTCAATTTTGTGATGCAAGTTTGTAAACAGAACGGTTGGGAGTGATTGCGTATCGACGAATTCCTGATTTGTTAGCTCAAATTTGGCGGTTAGCAAATTGGGTTATACGTTTCCTCGAGCGAAATTAGTCTGTTTCGTTAGCGAGGTCCCAGGAGGAAATTGAAGTTCCGTGTTGACCCGTATTTTCTTCTTTTTCAATCAGGTCTTTGTTGAAATGCAGTGCTTTTCATGGTTCTGCAAACATATGTTTAACAAAAGCGTCTGTCCAGACAGTTGTCTGTCCTAGCTTATAACAAGAGACGTTGCGTGATGCCGGCAGTAAATGCATCGAGAAATCTATTTGATAAATACACTCGAAGGGTTGGCTCTGCAGAAATTAGAAGTTCGTTATAGGCACCTTTTATTTACTGAAATACGAATAGAACATTTTCGTAAGCTTGAAGTTCGTGACTAAATTAGAATATACATCGTAGCTCAAAGGAACGGTTGATTTGAGGCAACTTTAGCAATATAAACTGCAGGTACATGGTCGCACAAACCGCCCTTTTTAACAGTTTTATTAAAAAAAGTATGGAATTTTTTTATTACTTCTTCGATGCGTGCAACCCGTTGCTCTTTCTACCGCCAAACTATATCAATATTTGTTCTTTCAAAATTTCCGAAATTGTTTCGCTAATAGTTACTTGCACCTATGGCAAAGTGTTTCACATTTGTTGCAGGTGGAGCCACGCGAGTAATATCACTTTGGTGCCCGAAACGCGATTCTGAATGGTGTGCTTACCGCGTCATCGAACGCGGTCCCTTGATTTCAGCCTGATCACGTCGTACAAGTGTCGTGTTGCTGCCTGCCGTGATTCTGGCGGTGGCACAACAAAAGGAGGTAGAATCGGCAGACGCCTGTTCTGCTGCAGATCGCACTCCCGATTGAGTGTCCATGAAGTTTCAGTAGCCCCCCGCCCCCTCTCCCCTCCCCTAGAACGTGGTACACAGACCAGTCGGAGGCGCGTTCCAGACACACATCAGTACATAACTCCCAACATCAATAGGGCTCAGTGAAACCGAATGTATTCTACTACCCGGCGTGACAGGTCGCTGCAGTGTTCCCGAACCCGAGTTCACCAAAACCTGGTGCTTGCACTAATGGTGCACGCCGTCATGCTCGTCGTCCTCTCTCTGCCAGTGGTGGTGCAATCGGACGCACCGACGCCATTCGCGCAAATAGTGAGTACACTCGATGATAACCTTCCGACTGTTTTTCTCCTTTCTTCCGATGGAGCCAACCAAGCGGGGCCAGAAGCGCATCCACACGGCATTCGTCGTCCTTGCGCGTTTATTTTTAATGGCTAAACCAATCACGCATAAAAAGAAAAAAGAAAAAAAAACAGGGATAGACGCACAAGGAGGACGAGTGCCGTGACGGCGCCGTTCAGCGCCTCTTCATTGTCTCCGTCGGACCGTTAGCGTCGGCTGATATTAGACTAAACCATTGTGGGCCTTCATCACGTGCATAGAATTATTATAATGTACGCTAGAGATTCAACTGACGCTAGTGTGCTGTTGCAAATTGAAACAGACAGCAAACAGTCCGAAATTGACTTCCGGTAATGCATTTCTACGGAAAAAAGCGAGTGCATTTCGTTCCTGCGCTCGATTATAAGAGCAAATATTACGAATAATTCGTACCTACTAAGCACATTGGAACATTTCCCAATCACGCAGATGAAATAATTGAACAATTACGGCGTTTTTATTTTAAAATCGTGGAATGAAAAAGGTGCTAAAACTGATTCGTACATGTATTTATGTGCACTGTCGAACACTGTTAGCGCGAACACGGCGTCGGCGCTTTCCAGCATGGGGGATATACGTGCTAAACGAACGAAGGACATGTGGAAAACCAAGAGAGACGGCAAGAACTACGCAGTAACACTGGATGAGTAACTCCTTGTGCACGCAGACGATGAAAATAAATTGAAATTCACGTAATATAGTCCGATTTGCAATAAATAAGTACTGCTTTATTCTTTCTGCTCATGAATATATGCGAAGATGCTTGTTCTGGGTTCAAATCGTCACCCGCACGCTCCAAATCTTTGCAAATAGGGGGAAGCCAGAGAACAGGTGAGCGATAAAAACTGCCCAACATAGGAAATAAGAAGAAAACACACTTTCGTAGCCCACGTACTTTATTCTTTACCTTTCGAAAGTTTTTTTAACCACTCGTAAAGATGCACGACGGGGACAGGCATATTAGCAATATATACGCCCCAGCAGAATACTGGCAAACTTTGAACACACTCTACATTCCTTTCGATCGTTATTTCGCTTAGAATCGTCGCTCGTTTCTACATACCTGCCATGTGACAAAGGTTCGGGCCTGAAATATAGCGAAGTTTAGCATCGTTCAGTGGTAAAAGAATGCTGTAACTAAAGCAATCACACTTTCACAATATCAATAAAGGTACGTACTATCCGGTACAACCGAAGTAACAAAAGTTATTCGTGTTATTTTCCGGCGACGAGCCAAAATTCACGCCCGTTTTCCCATAGGAATACGCAGGAGGACTGGAAAAGTAGACTGCATGCTGTCTGCTTCAATTTGCAAACGGAAGTCCCGTGGACACTAGCGCCAGCTGAGCCTCTAGCGTTTATTATAATAACTCTATGGTCACGTGATTTGTTGCGTGCGGTTTTTCTTTCCAAATTAATAACCACTGACAGTTTAAGACAGGCAGGGCGTGGAGAGCTCCTAGCATCTCATCACTGTTCTACGGCCAATCAAGTTGCGGCGACAGCAGATAAGGACGCGGAAGAACAACACATCACTAAAGCAAAAATAACGTGAACGTCATCCTGCGTTTCTCAAGCCGTCTGCGACTATGCGGAACGCGAGGTCGTCCGCTTCTTGCGCTGGGGGTTGCGGTAAAGTCATAATGCCGAGATTTGATTGGCTCCGATTGGAAAGACGCTGGATAGACCTCCTCGAAGCAGCTAGCATCGAAGTCTACCCGCTATCCTTCCGATCAGAGCTAATCGGAGCTCGGCGTTCTGACGTCACTGCAACCCCCTGCGCAAGAAGCAGACGACCTCGCGCTTCGCATAATGGTGCGGGCTCATCTAGTGCTTGCAACGTGCTCATGCACCCTACTTCTTCGTTAGCGTTCAACGAGCACAGTGCTCACCGAACGTACACGAAACAAGCGGACCGTGTCTTACCCCCATGGGAACGCTATCCCGCTCTCCTGGCGCCAGCCGAAGAACTTCTCCATGACGTAGCGATCGAGGAAACAGCCCGAGCAAGGGGAGGTGGCTCACCGAAGGCCAAAACTGCGGCTACACTGCTCTCCACTTCAGGTCCGGCCACAGCCGCCGCTGCGACCGGATGGAAGCGAATCAAGCGGCGCCCAAAAATGCGTCGTCACGCTGCTCGTTGTCTCTTTGGGGCTTTCACGCTGGAAAGGTCTACGAACCTTTCTGACGCGTATCACCCAGGACGTAAAACGCTGAGTCACTTGGGCTGTGGGCGCATGCCTGGGGTCTCATATTTCTCAAAAGAGAGCTACTGCGCATGCTCAGAACGTCTTCCACAGCTTAGGAGGCAAAAATGGCGGCGCCCAGAAGGCGAATATTGGAAAGGTCTATAAACAGCGAGCAGCGCACGTTCGGCAGTCACCCGCAATTATCGCGGCGCGAGGACGAAGCGAAAAGCGTAGATTACTCGCCAGACGAAATTTTTGCGTGGTCACGATTCCAACCTTGAGCGAGCGGTCTTCTACGGTCGAGCTGTTCCAGTGAACGCCTCAAGCAGTTCTCCGGTTTTTGCCAGGATAGCGCTCCCGTGAGATAAGACGCCGTTTGCGTGTTCCGGATAGGTTTGGTGAGCTCCGAACAAATACTCGTTTAGGGCTGAAGATAGTTTAGTGTTTGGTCTAAAGTGGCGCTCGTGCTCGTTTTGTGTTCTCGCTACATGGCGGCTCACACGTATTTTGATGCCCACTCGAATTTATAGTGCACTCCGCTGTCTTTGTTCTAGCTACATACTCATTTAGTACTGGTACTATAGTCTATAGGGCTCAGAGTTAGAAGAAACATTCGCTCATTTATTCTTATTTGGTACTTGCATATGAGTCAATGTGCACATCTAGTTCTTTTTCATGCTCCTTTCGTGGATTCATTTACTGTGGTTACTACTTTCTTTTACATTTACTCCTCAGTTTAATTTAGACATCAAATTTATATAGTGTACAACTTACAACAACAACAAAAAAAAAGAAGTCATAAGGCCAGGTGTGTATGTCTGCATACTGAAAAGTATTTTGTTTATTCGTCAAGAAAAGTTAACATCCCCGCCCCCCCCCCCCCCTTATCCATAAGACTCTTTAATATTCTTTTGACTTTCTGCTTAATTAAAACAATTAGCTTTTTTCACCAGACGAAGTTACGTATTGTTAGCAAAGTTAAAACTAACTTCGTCGTGGGAATAAAAAAGAAAAAAAGGTTCCCGGTATCCGCTAAATACCCGGCAGTCCATCTTCACCTTGTTGCGTACTAGCGAAAATACTAAAACGAAATTCATTTTTCATCCCTGCGAAGGCCACATAAAATGTCAAATAAGGGAGTTGCGAAATTCGCACAGTCGGGACAACTTGACATCTGAATAGAATTCGAACATAATCTAGACAAACCCACCCTTTAGCTAATGCGTGTGAATCGATGCGAGGACAGATTCAATTCGACACAAAACGCAATCACGGTTCATTCTTTCTTACAACTCCGCGCTTAACTTCTCCGTCGACACAGGAAATTAAACTACGCCACCGGTACGAACGATCGGGACGTTTCTTCAGTCCCCGACTGAAGGACAATGGAAATTGGGGGTGATATCTTTCAGTTGTGCCGCCTCATGCGCGAGGGGTTTCCTGTGTTCGTTCGATAAAACTTCGCCGTCTCGCAAGCCTAAAGCGAGCCCCCGCAGCCAAGGCACGATAAAAGACAACGGACACGTGCATAAAACATTTCCGTGCCTCTCTTTATTTCAACGACTATGCGGGTCGAAATTGTGGGAGAGGAGGAGATCAGAGCGTGCGGGGGCGCCAGCGGGACGAGCTCTGACTGGAATATGATTCGCGGGCAAACGCAAAGCTTCCCCCCCCCCCCCCCCCCCCCCCCTAAAAACAAGATTTTGTTTTTTATCCGCAGGCATAAACTACGCCTCGCCGAAGCGCTCGTTCGCCGTTCAAGTGTAGTGCTAGCGTTGAGAGAACCAGACGACAAAGTTTCAAAGCTTAGCCTTCATGCTATTCAAAAGCTATGAGTGATTTTCTGAAACGTTCGATAGAAAAATGGGGCTCGTCATGTTTTTGGCAGTTTTCGGTTTCTGGCCCGCCGTAGGGCTCCTTTGTATTCAAGAGCTCCGTCGTCCGCCATTTTCCCCATTGAACCTTTCAGAAAGCCACTTATAACTTTTTTCAATAAAAGAACGGTTAGAACTGTACCTGTGGCACCTGGTTCGGACAGCTAGCGCTTCATTTTGGCGGAAAATGAGGGTTCGGTGACACATAGTTTATTTTTGCAACAAAACAAACCCCCCCAAAAAAACCAGTAATTTGTTTTGGCAACCTTGTCCAATTAGTCTCGCGTATATCAGATGTATGGAACTCGAATGCAAACGGAACGATGCCTTAAAGAGCACTACTCTAACGAACCGCAAAATCACTGTTTTCTTAAACTACACGCTGCCCTCAGTTCAACGCACCAAACTGATTAAAAGGCACATAAGTAAAGGAACAACAGCTGACATCGTACATTGTGGCTAAATAAGACCCTTATGTTAAAGTGTATACCGGTTCATGATAAATCCTAAAGATCATCCATATTATGAGAGAAAATTTACGAGTAGAAGTATTATAAATACCAGTAAAGAACGGTTTTCACACAAACAACGTGGCGCTATCTAATCGCTGTATCAACCTAGCAGAAACAACGCAGATGCTGCGCTGCCTTGAAAGTAGTCTGCAGTGATTTGAACCGCTGTATCAGCTCTGTGCACTGATAGAGCGAAAAGTGAACGCTGCATCGGCACTAAGATCGACGATAGTTTCAGCGCTGACTTAGAGTTGCGCTATGTTCGTCTGCTTCTTTTGCAGGGATTATGGTGACGTCAGAACGCCTAGTTCTGATTGGCTCTGATTGAAGGATAGTGGGTGGACCTAAAAGCACGCTGCCTTGACGTCTACCTAATATCCTTCAAACAGAGCCAATCAGAGGTCGGTGTTCTGACGTCACCACTACTTGCGCAAAAGAAGCAGACGAACTTGTGCTCCGAATTGTGTTGTTTGTTTGTTTAGACACTGGGAAGTTAGGCTGCCCGGATTGGCGTCTGATTTCTTGGCTGTAGATGCAAAATGTAGCCAGTACAGTTCTACTGCTAGCCTGGGGTATTTGACTGGCACCGCGCAGTAGTGATACACGACCGCACGGCGGTACGATGCTCTCATTCAGATCGAAACCGACAGGGGCTCAGATTGAGCCAAGGTACCCTGATTTCTGCAGTGCGAGCTTTCACTTCACGTGTTCAGAGCTGCGTTTTGCTAACCATGCTCAGTCACAAACCTCCATAATATGGAGTTTTAGAATAGCGCACGCTAAAGCTTTGCGCACGCAAAGAATAGCGTCGTCGCCACTGCGCATGCTCCGAACGCAAAGCAGGTTTTGCGCTTTGCGTGCGCAGTTTTAGCGTGCGATATTTCTCGGAAATAGCGTGCGTACGCAAAGAGCCTTTGCGCTTCTCCTAGGAGGATTCGTGATGAGAAGTTGGCTAAAGCCAAGACGAGCACAGTTAAAAAAATGGCGGCTTCCAGGATTATGTCGGCGGCTGCTTTGGCGGCGTCGTGAGTTCGACGTCGGCGGTATCCTCGCGACGGCAATTTTCGGTGCGGGACGACATTGTACTCGGTTTGGCAGCGATCACCGGCAACTTGATGCTTGCGACGCGCGAACATTTCACGGCGAAGGAACGATGTGCGAAGGTCAGTACACGAGACCTCTCTTGCCGAGGCGACGCAAGCGGACACGACCGGTCAACCGCTCGCGTCGTGTTCTCATGTTTAAACAAATTAAAATGCTACTCTAAACCAAAAAACTCGTTTTCTTTTAAAGTTATACATCATTTCGTGTATGAAATAAAAATTTGACTGCATCTTGGTGGCGTCGCAAGCGCGAGATGCTTGGGCTTTTGCGTCGCGGCGGAGAAACGCTATTCTAAAACTCCCCTGCGTCGCGTGCGCTAATACAAGCGCTAAATTTAGCGCTAGCGTGCACTAAAATTGCGTACGTTATTCTAAAACTCCCTATTAAATATAAAAAAATAACGTAAAATACCCAGGGTCAGGGAGCAAGGAGGACGCAAACACAATTAAGTTGCCCCTTGGCTTTTTTTTTTCTCTTCTCTTTCTGTATTTTTTGTTTTTGTTTTTGCTCTGTTTGCTAATGTTTATACTTTTCGCTCTGACTCACCCAACACCAAACGATGGAAAAATATAAAAGTATACCTAGACAACGTCTGGACTATATTAATAAATATTTGGGGGGCACGGACCACCCAAAACAATTCTCGCGCTTCGTGTACTTCTCACCCTTCTTTTACAAAGGCGATTTATTACAGGCTTCGGCCAAGGATGGAAACTTCGCGGAACGCCCGTGTGGCTGCACTCTGACCGCTCTGGCATTCCTATTGGTGATCGCGTGCATTCCTTCGTCAATCTCGACCTCTCTCTCTAGGGCCTATTGACGACAAACTCGCCAGGTCAAACACCTCGGCATTGCTCGGTCCCCACGTACCTGATGACATTCCAGGTGTTGATCGCCCCGCAGCACGATATACCGCGTTCATCGCGTTCACGAGTGTCGTGCCTGCAAATGGAGGGCCTTCGACCCGCTTGTCTGGAGCAATTCGGTACCTCTGCAGTACCACTGTCACACGAGGCTATACTAGAATGCTGTGGGTCCTACGAGAACTATTTTTTATGTCCTTTTCGCAACTGTGCACTTTTTTATTGTTTTTTTCTTTGTGTCAGTTGTACTGCGAGTTTGTGGTTTAATGTCTTTTCTTTTTTATAGACATGCAACACGTCCGCAAGTAACTTTTTGACTGCGTAATATATAACAAAAAACAAAAAACACCATTCCACGTAGCTTTCTGTAAGGTCTATCGCAGTTTGGGCAGTAAAATATTATAAAACGGCACCTATTCTCCGTTTTAGTACGACAGCGAGCTCTGGGATTTCAGATTCACTGCCAAGCAGGCGCCTGTTGTGCGGCAGAAGTACCGTTAAGGCAATGGTTCAGGGCGCGCGCTTAATCGTAGCTTTTGGCTTCGCCCGCACTTAGAACGTAATATTTATGCAATTTACAAACAGTGCGTTCACATATTAAAGAGAGCAATATTGCGATAAGGACTCTTTCGGTATATCTTCTCCAGTGATACCGGTTGTCTCGTGCTTTTGTAATCGCCTCCGCCGCGTAGCGTGTTATTGACCCCGATCCCCAAGTCAAGCACACCCCGAGTCCATGATTGGAACACTATCCCAGCAAAAACATTGACGTAACACTCGTGTTAAATATGGGCTCAGGATGGGGGTCGGTAGCTGATAATAAATATAAAATAAAAAAAAAAGGATCGGTGACTGAGCTTTTTTACGCAATACCACGTAGAACACGAGGCCTGGGCCTTTCGCCTCCAAAAAAAAAAAAAAAAAAAAAAAAAAAAAAACGACATCACTGGTGTATCAACGCAGCGTCGCCTAGCTGACGTCAGCGTCGTCGCCAACGCGTCTAGCAGCGTCTCACAGAGGGCGCGACGCTAACGACCGGCGACGCCAAACGGATGCGCCTGCCGCTTCGCGGCGTATACCCTCGTCGAGCTTCGCAGTGTGTGCCGCTAGACGTCGAGTCGGGGAATCCTCTAACAGTGACGTCATATGCAAACCTTGTCTTCAAGATTGTGTTTTTGTTCTTGCGCCCTGCAGCTCGGAGGACGTTCAGCGATATCTTGCGCTGCAGAATGGTTCAGTCGTGCATCGATCCCTACCCCTATAGCCGTTTCGATAGAGATGAACTTTCGCATACCGGCGTGCGGTCGTGAACAGTTACTGCGTGATGCACGTTAGGGACCCCAGGATGGCAGTTGTATAGTGCGCTGGCTACATTTCTTTTCTTCAGCGTAAACCAGCGTAACCGTAGCACGAAAGCAGATTCATCTTATGCTGTGTAAATACACACGTTTAATTTTTTTTTTTTTTTTTTTGATTTCAGAATGATTGATTTGCGCGTCAGATTATTTCCGTGGTAGCCCAACCGGATTTGGCGCATATACTTAAAAATAAACTACTCTCAAAATTTATATGAGGGAAAAAAACTACGTTTATTCACAATTTTTGTTTTGTCCCGTCAAAGGAACAAACGTTCTAGCAGAATTTAATTTTACAGCTGCTTTAGGTGTTTTGTTTCCTCATGGGAGTGAGTTTTGCTTTGCAATTTGACTGATTAGTTTTTTCTTCAATCGGGATGCTTATAGTTTTCTGAGATTATTTGTTGACACGGGGACTACGCCTGATGATAGGGCAAAATTCTACCTACCATTGTCATTGGTAAACAATGAATAGCCCGAAGGAAACACAACGACCAGAGCACGAAGATGGGACGAGCGCTTGTCCCGTCTTCGTGTTTTTGTCCGTGCGTACCTTTTGGTCTCTGTGTTGTTCATTTAACAAACTATCCCACTTTAACATTCTCGTACGTGGTGATCGGCGTCGCTGTATGTCGGAATATCGTTTACACTGACCGAAACAAGATGATAACAAAAACGTCAATTTGAAGACAGTGAAGGCTATCACTGTGATTATACGAAGAGCAAGTCGTCTGCTTCGTGCACAGCAGTTGCGGTTAGGCCAGAGCGACGCCAAGTTCTGATTCGATAGTGGTTAAAGCTCAATGCTAGATGCCTTAAAGTCTACCCACTATTCTTTTTTTAAATCAGCCAATAAGAGCTCGGCGTTCTGACATCATTGCAACCTCTGTGCAAGATTCAGACGTACTTGCGCTCTGCATTATCTTGACAATAATATTAGTTCCTCGTAATGAATACCGTATTTATACTTAAACGGTACCTTGAAAAAGTATGGTATCATTGGACATTTCTAAGATTGTACGTGTAAGTTCTTCGTCCCTCTTGGCCAGCCTCCCCTCTGCAAGAGCATCCTGTCCCTGAAGATGTACGCGGCCATGGCGTCCATCAACTGGATGTTCGTCGAAGGGCTGCTTCTCCACTCCAGGATCACCATCTGCATCTTCCGGCAGGACGCCCCCTTCAAGCTCTACCACGCCATCGGGTGGGGTGAGTGTGTGCTCCAGGCCACTCCGTTTCCGCTCCACTGTGAACGGTCTGCCGATGCAGGGATAAGCAGTATTTCAAATACAAGTATTTGAAATACGTATTTCAAATACTTTTTGTATTTTGCATTTGTATTTAATTACAAATTGGGTAATGTATTTGACGTGTGTATTTAAATACTAAAACGTGGGTATTTCAAATACAATTGTAATTAAATACAATTTTGAGGGCGAAAATACATCCCTCAAATTTATTGTCACTGCCCAGAGTAGGAAGAAAACTACGTTCTGCACCGAATGCAGTGTCTCTCAATTAAGCACAAGCGTTTAGTGACTTTGTGATTACGGTGCTAGTCCAGGGCAAGAATAGTGACGAAATCGACGTTCACAGGCAGACTGGCTAAATAAGTGCCTGTCACAACTTGTTATGCTTTCCAGCCTGATCTCCATTCATAGTGTTGCCTGGAACATTCTAAATGTGCGGGCCGTCCAGATTTTCATAACTGGTGCGAGTTGCAACAATAAAAATTCTCTGGCTAGTGCTGCGTGTCTTGGTCGTCTCGGTTCTTTGTTGGTCTATACCAAGATGTAATCGACAAAAAAAAAACTGTTTGAAGCTTTGTACTTTTTTCACCTATTACGTCCAAGCAGATTACATTTTTTTTTAATCATATTTCTATTACATTACTAGAACCTCGCACACTAACTCCCGAGTATGCGATGCAAAATTAAAATGAGATACCCAGAAACCCGCTGCAGGTGACCTGAAGTCGCTGACGCAAATTTTGAAGAATGTATTTGGGAAAGTATTTGGAAGAGACCAAATGCATTTGGTTGTATTTTTATCTTGTACTTAAATGCTTTTTTTGGAAATGTAATTAAATTTTTAATTAAATACATTTTTGACGAAGTATTTGTATTTGTATTTCGATACATATCTGCATGTATTTTGCCCATCCCTGTGCCGATGGTTTAATTTGGTCGGGGGAAACAAAAGTCCTCAGAGCGGCCTGAATGACTGGCATTGAACCCGGTAGCACTGATCAGCGTCCATTAGCAGTCACGTCCTGGCGGCGAACAAACAAGAGTGATGCGCAGCCCGAGCAACACAAAAGCATGGCTAATAAAAGATAGTCCGGTTCCACACACAGCGTTACGAATTTCCTCCTTCATATGTTCAATTAATATTCATATATGTGAGTGCATCATAGGTTAGGTTTTTACTGTTTTATGAAGACGTGGGGCGTTTGAAACGCCAAATCCGTCGTGTCTTCCTTCGACAACCAAATGTTGTAAGAACTACTTCGTGCAGCGCATGGGTGATGAGCAAAACTTACTTTTTTTTCCTCGATGTGACAACAAGTACAGGTGGTATTCAGTGGTGGCCATAGCTGAGGGTGTAGCTGCTCAGCGCATACTGCCGAAAAGCTTCCACCTAGCTTTTGCAACGTGCATTCCGCCGTATCAAGATTGCCGGTCTTAGAAACCTATTGGCGACGTGCGCGACCGAAAGCGTCGCTGTGGTCGGCCTTCCACGATTGGACCAAAAGCTGACTATGACGTCGGAAAGGGTATACCATCGACGGAAATAAGAGGAATGAAAGAACTTTAATTTCGACGGTGTTGGCAGTGTTGCTTTGAGAGCGCAATGATTTCAGGCTTCCACCATGCTATTTACAAACACCATCGAACTTGATGTTCGCAAGGTAATGACGTCACAAGAGGGAACCATAGGAGGGCGCCACCAAAACATCTCGCCGCTAATAAGTGTGAGATCGTTCTGAGCCTGTCCACTAAGCGGTGCACTCAAATATGGCGCCCAGTCAATAGCTCCTGTTTTCGACGTGCGCGACTAAAATAGTTGCTGTGGTCGGCCTGCCACGATTGGCCGAATGCTGACTATTACGTCAGCAAAGGATTTTTCATCGACGGAAATAAGAGGAAAGTAAGAACTTGAATTTTGACGCTGTTGGCAGTATTGCTTTGAGATGGCAGTGATTTCAAGTTTCTATCATGCTAACTACATACACCATCGAACTTGTTGCTCGCAAGGTCATGACGTTACAAGAGGGAACCATAGCAGGGCGCATTTGTCTGGCAAGTAGTAGGGTGCCTTCATACACTTTCGGGTGGCGGCATCTCGGTCATTTCTATGCCCAGAATGCACGCGCTTCGATCTCGTTCGGAGCGAGCGCTTAGCCCTGCCCGGTGCCTTGGCGCCGTTTTAAGGCCCATTCGGCACGCGCAGGCAGTTTTCAATACAACAATGGGTGTCTTCACTCTATGACATACGCACATTGAGGCACCCTAGCAAGTAGCGTGAAATGCGCCAAAGCACGAGGCTCATGACTCGTGCAGCATTTAGACGCAAATGGTGACGCAGCACTAGAATCAGTAGCCCTTGGAAGCAAACGGCGGCGTAGCACTAGCTAGTGGCACGTGTTTCGCGCGTTCGCACAAAATGGTGGTCGGTACTTGCGTAAGAAATTCGAGAGCGTAAATTCATCAGGGGCATTTACTCAGCTTGATTTCTGCTTATATGGATCCGCTGACATCTGCTGGTTCGGGAAGGCCGAAGCGAAGCGGCCGTAATCAAGCTTCATTGTTCAGGGTTGCCAGAAAACGCGACTCCTGTCATAGTGGCACCTGTATCCTGTTGTTAGCCTCTTGCGTGAAGTGTGAACAACGAAGAACTAGAAAGGGATGACAGTTTTAAGAAAGAAAGAGAAATAGCGTGAAAAAGAGAGAGAGTTAAAGCTATATCTCTATAACTTCAGGACTCACATGAGGAACGGTATTTTGTTTCCTTTATCTTCTCCTTTCCCAGACCTTTACTGATAAAGCGTAGACGCATTCTGGCTTATCGACGCTGCAGTGAGCTGCATGCTTAGGAAGTCTACGTGGATTTAGTGTGGAAACTGGAACGACGCTCAACGTGTTCTGAAAAAACATTCATATAAACAAAACAAAAAAAAAAAAGAAATAAAAAAAGGAAAAAAGAACACCCTATTTACAGCCTTTGTGCGAATTAACCGAACGCAGCGGCTATTTATTTAGTTGTTTATTTATTTTACCCTCAGGGCCAGAGACATCACTTTAGGAAGTGGGGAGAGAACCAGCAAATTAACAGTTAACAGCAGTCGGTACACCTCCCAGTTCCAGATTTGGGAAGTAATCTGTTAAGGCCCGTTCACACTCCTGCGACCGAGTACGACCGAGAGAGACGAGACTTGTTGAAACCTCTTAAAATTTCTTAGGACGAGAGAACACACTGGCACGTTGGCGCCATCTATGCGGTGACCCTGGAACTGCATTGTACAAGAGCGAAGGTTTTGCGGTATTGCCGAGGTCAAATGTGCGTAATACCTGTAAGAAAGGCTCGTTTATGACGTTGACAAATGTTTTCAAGCCAAGAGAGAAAGGATAATGCGCGAGAGAATTAGAAAGTATGCCGGGCTGCCAAGTTTACACTGCTACCCAATAGATGGCGCCTGTCTGTCCTCTCGTTGTAATAGGTCTCAAGGAACCCAGTTTTAAAAGGTCGCTAGAGTGTGAACGGGCCTTTACTTTTTTGAGTAATTTTGTAATTACCACGTTACTTTTTTCTGAAGTTATAATGTCATTTCGTTACAAAATATTGGTAACTGATTACTTCAATTACTCGTTACTTTTTAAAAATATGAGGATAATACAGTAACTAGAGCAATATGAGCAGAATATTCAGCAGCATAGAGAGAGCAAGTGCAACAAAATAGAAAACACCAGGAAGGGTAGAATAGCCGAAAAAGAAAACACGATTTTTCGTAGGACCGACCGCTAGAACCACTAGAAAAACGGGCAGGGTATGTACAAATAAACGAAAGACATATATCAAGTAAGATAACGCCGGGCAGTCTCTCTGTCGCCTTCCATCGTGTTTTTTTTTTTTCTTCTCCCGGGTGGGAAAAACCTCTTCGACGTCTCCCGCCACCTGCACAGACATCAAACGCGGGTCCGTAACCCCTCGATTCGCGGGTTCATAACTCGCATAACAGACTATGTGGCCTCGTGCGAGGGGTTCGAATTCTCTTTGTCTTTGATGTGCGCTACAGCATTCTATACCCCGTTTCACCTTATGTTGTACCGCAGCGAAGGCTGGAAGCGCGAGCTCAGAGCGTTGACAGCTGCCCTTACTGCACGAGAGCTTGTGCCGCCGAGATCTGCCCCAGAGCAAGGAGCTCGCGCTTGCAGCCTTTCCTGCGGTACAACCAGAGCCTTTTATACTGGGAGAGTTCGGCGGGTGGGAGGGGCTTACGGCCCGCTAGGTCTAGCGGACTCAGCGGGCGCCGCTTCCGCCATGATGTGCCTCCCGGCGAGTGGGTCCCCATTGACATGCGATGCATACGCGTGTAGGTTTTGCCGTTTGCGCTTTTGTTGGCGTAACGAGAAAGTCGATAAATCACGCATTTTGTTACGTTAATCATACGTTAATCATAAACTTACCTCGCACAATCGAGAACTCGGCTTCCAGTCAGCCCTTCTTGGTTTGGTTTCCCAGATCTTGTGCCTTTCTTTTCCTTGCGGGAACCGGTACATCCTGAACCCCTTTTTCGCGTTGTTCGAGCACCCAACGGCACTGCAGTCCCCCATTTATTTTTCATCTAACCTCTGGCAGAGCGCAGCGCAGAACGATCATTTTCATCGTCGTCTCTCGCTCCATGGACTCTAGCGAGCCGACTGCCGGCTCGAGTCAGTAGGGCAAACGGGTCTTATCAGCCTCCACCAGCCTTACACCAAACAAGGGTTAAGCTTGCAATTTAAGGTTATAATTATAATGCAATTAAATGCAAAGGTGCAATCAAGCTAGACGGCAAGGCACATCATGGCGGATGCGGGCAGTTGCCAGACTGTTTGATCAGTGCTGCCAGACTGGCGGCTGGATCAAAGAACCGCCGAACTCTCCCAGTATAAAAGGCTCTGGGTACAACATAAGGTGAAACAGAGTATAGAACAACCTTGAGGCACGGCTGAAAAGCGCCCGGCGCGAGGCTAAGAGCATCGTTTTCGAGGGTACGGACGATACTTTTGGTTTACTTATCTGGACATGGCGGTCGAGTCCACTCCTCATTTACAGTCAACGGTCAACATAAAAAAAAAGGGGGGGGGGGGGGGGGGGGAGTAGCCATTGAAGGTGTGCCGACGGAGAGAGAGAGAGAGAGGACGCGTAAAAGCGGTGTGATCATCTGTTGCCACCACTTTTCTCTTGCCACTTTTTCTATGACTGTCGAGTTTTCGGTTATACTGTGTCCGTCGTCTCCACGGATGAGATGTTCAAAATTCCGGGCATTAAAGAAAATGCAAACCTAGGGTTTCAATGCATACTTTGCTTGCCAAAACAACAACAACAACATATTGTCATCACCAAGAACACCAAACCCTAATCTACGGAAACGCATCGATTGGCTATACATTGGGGAATTGTAGTAGACCGTTTCCGCAGCCCGCTAAGCACCCGGATAGCGCTCCGTAATCCGCCATAAGACCTTGAACTATGCAGATAAGGCTGGCGGCGCGCATGCGCAGCTGCGGCGTTTTCTTCGGGGATACCGGAGCGGAGGAGAAAAACGGTCTACTACAATTCCCTAATGTAACGTTAGCACCAAGTTTTTCTTTTCTTGTGAATAGCAGGCGAAATACCCATGTCAAAAGGGAGCTTTGGTAGATCGATTCTTTAGCTCCGAATCTCGTAGCAGAGGTAGACGCTGCTACTGAGCATGAGCACCACTGGCTTTGTCTGCACAATTCCAGGGACCACTTTCCAAGGCCGTAAGCCAGCGGGATAGCGGGTGTGGTTGCAGCTTTCGGTGCCTCGTCAGCTTACAGAGGAACGGAGTGCACCTACACTCTCTCATAAAGGGATACTACAACAAAATTTCGGCGCTTATTTTGTGGTCTATATCTGTTCAAAGAAGCAGTATCTCATCGAACGCACCAATATCTTGTTAAAAAAGTCTCGAAAAGGAATTTTAAATCGAATTAAACGATTAGCAAAGAGCACCTTGTGGATGTCGCTAACGCCTCGTTTGTAATGCCCGTCTAGGAACCTTGACAGCTAGTGAAGTTGAGTGCCTCGCCTCCGGCAACGACGAGAGAAGAGGGGAAGGAGGAACTCCCGTCTTCCCGAGAATGCCTTTTGTGTGTTCCAGAAGTAGCTGTTGTCCCCCTACAAGATTATAAAAGATTAACCCGTCGCTCAAAATTCGTACAAAAGCAGCCGCTTCGGTGGCTGGAACGACTAGGCCATCCTCTCGACGTCAGCCTCGCCGTAGCCTTGCTCTTCCCGAGACGACCTACGTCACGATTGTGTCGGATGTCACGTGCTCTAAGCCGGTCCTTTTCCGAGCGCTTGCTAGAGTGGGCCGTTTATAACAAAAAATAGAGCCACCAGGCTCAAAATACACACGCGCGATTGTCATTTACGGATATTGTGGATCATATTCAAAGTATTTTTGAACACGAAGAATATATTTCAAATTTCTTTGAAGTATCTATTTAAATACAATATTTTATTTCTACAAGGGCTACTATAATACGGGTGTTTGAGAAATGGAGAGTAGTGTTGCAGAACACTTGTGCAAAATATCAAATTTGTTTCTATTGTTTGCTGGGTAAGTGTACAAAAAAAGTAACGTGAAAGTAATTTGTAACGAAACGAGTAAAGTAATCCTTTACTTTTCAGGGAAAGTAATTTGTAACGGTAATCCATTACATTTGCGATTCGGTATTTTGTTATTATAATCCATTACATTTTTTTTTAAATAACGAGCACAAGTCCGTCCACATCTAGCGCACCCTAGCTTGTGGCCTTCTTGACTGTTCTTAGTTATGGGGAACTTCTCCCCTTTAGCTGCTTACTTGTTGTCTCAAAAAGTACACTTGTTGCCTTCAAATAAAGCTTATAGCCAGAAGTAAGACGGGAGCAAAATTAAAAAAAAATATGCATATATATATATTTAGTGCTGCCATTTTGTTAAAAGAGCTGGAAACCAAGCAGTGAGCGAGCCTGGTTCGTCCAAAGCGGTTGAGTGCGTGAACCGGGGAAAACAAACGAGCCATTAAGGAGTTTTCGCGAGTTGTCTCCACACGAAAGGTTCGTCCTCAAACGCATTGGCGACGCCACTGCGCATGCGCGCGCGAGTCGTTGCCGGCTTCGGGACGCTATTCTCTTTCGTTTCTCCTATTCCGGCCGCTGAAGTCTTTAGATGGCCGCTGCCACCTAGCGGTTGTCGCCGCCTACTCGTCGGGTAGCAATTGCGAATTACGCGGGCCCAGTGTGCCCGTTATTATTATGACGGGTTTTAAGGTTCTCACGAATTCCTCAAGATTTTTTTTTTCCGTGGTGCACAACTCGAGCGAACGTAATCCGAGTGTGGCGGGTAAAAAGGGATCTACCGATGAAAAGGATCTATTCGCCGCTAGGGGCGCCCTTGTAGGGGTTCTGGCGGTGTGACAACAGCGGGGGTAAATGTGGCAGACGTTTGTTCTGCTGCAGGTCGCTCTCGAGATCGACAGTCCGCGGAAGCTTCGGTAGTCAGGAGTTAGGACGCCGTGACGACAGCAGCACTTGCGTTCGCTCGCGCTTTTCGCCAGCATTTCTACGCCCAACCGCCAGGATCGCGACAGGCAACAACATGACACTCCGGCTTCTGTGACGTCATTTGCAGCCACCTCGGGGCCACTTTCAATGCATGGGTGGAATAGGACGCGACGTCAGGTTTCGTGACGTTAGTTTTCCCGCTAAATTTAGCGGTGAAACTGAATTAACGTTTATGTCACTGTCGTCAAGTTTTTACCTGAATATAGCGAGACATTACCGGACGCACGAAGGGTCAATATTTTGTGATCTGGGTTTTTTAAAAACGCATTTCCCTCTTTAAAAAAGTCACGCGTTATTATTTTCCAGTATACACCTTTCCAAAAAACACTCGACCCCAGGGGCAACAAAGCGCTTTCGAGCCCAGTCACTGAGTTTGAGGCTAGACTCTCACCGGCGTCCCTGCTAACCCTAACCGACTGGACTGTGATTTCAGTAGGCGCAGCCTGCGTAGGCGCAGTTCCAAACGCTGCTGGCAGCTAAATTCTTGTGTTTTCCCGCCATATTTTGTGTTTCATGGGTCGTGTATTTTCCCGAGGACATTAAAAAAGCATTGTGCCACATTAAAAAAAAAAAAAAAAACTATTTTTGTTGGGTACGCGCGCGACAGAACGAATGCGACTGGAATATATAGTTCTAGTTATTTTTTTTTCTTACGATAAGTTTTGACGGCGCCGCGGGATTCGCCGCATGTGAAACGACAAAGCGCTTTGCAGACAAAAATAAATTGCAACAGAAAAGGGCCGAAAGGCATGCATTTTTCACGCTCACAAATAACGTGTTTACCGATGGACAGGACACAGCAAACAATTGAGGAAGTGTTCACATTCGAACAATATTTCGTACGTACCACACGATGCAGCGTTATCCGAAAAAAATTTATTTGAGAAAGATCTCAAATAACACAGTCACAGTCGACGACAGTCACATCTTGACGACCGGACGGAATCCGAGATGACTTGGGGGCACGTTTTGGGGAGAGCTTCCTTTTTTCACAACCGCACCAAGGCAAAGAAACAAACGCGACTGACCCGTTTCTCACCCCAACCCGGACAACTAGTTTTGGAGATGACTGAGGATTCTACACGGATTATCTCTTGGAGGGGGGAGAACAATGTTCGCAAAATCGTGTCTAGGTTCGTTGGACGTCCTTCACCTCCTTCGTTTCCCGTGAATGTCGAGCAGAAAAGCTGGAATGGCAGGCACTTACCAGCTTCATTTCTCACAATGGAAGATAACACAAAAAGGGTGCGCAGCACGCATAAAAAAAATTAAGTGGAAACTTTCAAGAGGAGCGAGAAAACGTCGAATGCAAAACCGCAAAAACGTACGTAGAGAACCGCGCTGAGCGGGTCTTCACAGTCCCAGAGAGTGGCACAAAATTTCTAGCTGATAGAGGGCGCGAGAGTCGCACCAGCCGCATCAGCATCAGCAACATGGCGGCGGCCTAGAAGCGCTTTTTGGAAAGGTGTATAAACACACCTGTAAACGAAGTTTCAACGTAAAACGGAAGACTGCAAAGAAGCCGTCTTCTACCCAATATTTCTAATCCCGCGTTCACTTCGTGTTTCTTCAAGGACTTCCTCTAGTGTTCATCGTGGCGTGGGCGTACCTAATGGAACAGCAGCTGCGCACGGCATGTTGGGAAGGCTACGGGTCCAATCCCTACGTCTGGCTGCTCATTGGACCGAGGCTGGTTGCTCTCCTGGTGCGTGCCGCCTTACTAATAGCCGTAATAATACTGATAACATATTAATTATTTACTACCCTCTTACTTAAGATAACCACTCTTGTTGAAAGATAACACTTCCTCGTTCAGCCTGTCACGTTTCGCATAACCTCATTCGGTGATGTTTAAAAACGTCTTGCTTTTAATTAGAATGCAATTAAATGCAAAGGTGCAAGCGAGCTGGACAAGAATGACGAAAATAATCCCTGGAGAAGGGGAACTAATCCTATATATATCTATATATATATATATATATATATATATATATATATATATATATATATATATTTATTTATTTATTTATTTATTTATCAACTAATCCTATATATATTTATATTTGACCTTTGTCCCTCTTGTTCCCCTTCTCCAGGGATTATCTTCGTCTTGCTTTTGACAGATAAAAATAAAAGAAAAAAAAGTGCCTCCTACTTTTTCAATAGCAGCAGACGAGTACAGCGGAGTTTCACTACAATTGGTAATTGGGCTCATTTGGTAACAATTTGCCAAAAAAAAAGAAAAAAAAAAAAAACGAGGAAAATTAAAAAAGCAAAAAACAAGAAAAGCGAGGACAAAAAAAAAGAATTGATTGCTCCTTTTTGTTTTTTCTTTGCTGAATTGGGAATGGAATGTCCTCCGAACTTCGCTTTTGTGCAAAGTGAGGAGTGCCACGTACCTCAAACGCAATCTAAACGTCCTCGGTGTTTTTTTTGTTTTTTTTTGTGCGCTGTTGAGTTTGCCTTGTCCCGCGTACGTTCCCTGAACGTCGTCATTTGTGTGCAATGATAATGACTTTGTCCTCGAAACGTCTTACGAACGTCGTCTTCGTTCGACCCTGGTGATTCGCACGTCCCCCGAAAGTGTAACAAATGTCGTCCTAACATCGTTTTTTTTTCTTTTTTTTACCATGCAGTTGATTTTGTTTTTCTTCCCCGAAACGTTGTGTTCGCGCGCAGTGGAGATTACCTTGTTCCGCGACGTTCGCTCAAAAAAGAAGCCCTTCCTTCTCCCGTCGCAAAATAAAAAAAAAATAAAAAAATAAATAAACAAACGTTCACGTTGTTAAAGATGAATTTGCATGTCGGTCCTCATATCCGACGCTAAGTATTAATTAGCGACGATGCTCTCCAAGAAGCGCAAATATTAAAACCTGAGGGACGCACTCCTTAATAATATTACAAACCGACTGCGTTAAAAAAAAACAAAAAACCTTAAAACTTTCCAAAATCTTTTTAAAGCGCTCAAAAATAATATCAAAAATAAAAATTGGCGCAATTTTTACATTGCGAGACACATATAATGACAGGATTGGTTCCGAAACATTGCTTTTGTTTCCAGAGCAAGCCCGCGGACCAGAACCGTACGCAGGCGTGTTGGAAGCATACATATATGTATGAAGGAAACATGCTTCCCAACATCTTCTTAATCAAACTTCAAAGCTTCAAGCTTTGAAGTTTGACTTCACCAAACTTGAAACATGCTTCAAACTTCAAAACTTCAAGCTTCAAACAAAACACTTCGAACATGTCTGCAAACGTTTTTTCTGTATAAGCAATGTGTTTGGAGCGTCCTACAAGGAAGCTACACGCCTCAGTAGACTCTCGTTTTGCATGAAGCATTATCAGTCTGACCGTGGCTTTAGGCTTAAATATACTTCTGTGTGTCTTTGTTTTCTTGCGGTGCACGGCAGGTGAACTTCGTGTTCCTGGTGAACATAATTCGGATTCTGGTGACTCGGGTCAAGTCTGCCGTGTCCGTTGAGACAACCCAATTTCGGTGAGTGAAAGTATACGCACCCTCCTTAATGATCCGCTTTGCGACGAAGCCGTCGCGCCGGCTGAACCAATTACAGTGAGAACCGAATTCTTTATGCGATGGCGCGGCATCTCGCCTTTGTGCGATTACGCCGATCCCTCCCGCTTCGATTTCAACTAATCCTACTTTGAGACGGATTCTTGCTGACGCCCATGGCGGAATTAGGCCGCGCGAGAACTTCGTATATATATTTATGGACCTCTGAACAACTCTCAACCCAGCTCATTATCATTATTATTATTTTAGCGCCACAGATCGCGGGACGGAAGCGAATTAAGCTTGGAATCAGTTCTCGTGGATGAATTCGCGAAAGAACCTGTAATCCATGATCCTCCCCAGAAAAAAAGTAAAATAGTATTGAACTAGTGAAACACTGGAATGGTGAAGCCAACCATGCAAGGGAGCTGCATCGGCAGTGCACTATCTAAAAACAAGAAAACAAAGAATCTTTTCCTGTTTTTGTTAGTTGAAGTAGTAGTGTGGGGGCTCTTGAGGTCTGAGATAAGTAAATACTGACACGGCAAGCATGGTAAAGTTGCTCACACGTTGTTCAACCTTCAGTTTGAAGGTAGGTTTCAGATTTATTTTATGTATTAGTGTGCCTTGTAGTACTGTCTTGAGCATACAAAAGTAACAAATGTTTCGTCTAGCGATCTCAACAATAGTAGAAACAACGTAAACACAAAACTTCCACCTTTTTTCACAGCAAACTAGTTGGCATTTAAAAATAGTTGAGTGGGTTTATGGATAATTACGCATGAATAAGAAAGAAACAACTTTCATTTTCGTTCACGCGTAGTGATTTGGCTAGATCCCAGTTCTTCTTGTGACAATTGAACAAACGGGACACAAATTGAACCGAAATTTCTGCTTGCTACCAGAGACAATTTTTTTTTGTGGTGAATTTTTACAGAATGAGTGTTTCGTGAAGGCCATATAAATAATTTATAGTCTACCTACCCGCATTTCCCACAAAAACACCTCAGCCTCATAACAAGTATTGGCCGCTAAACAGATCTACACTCTAAAAAAAGCCCGTGCGTCCACTTTCCCGCACAACAATTGGAGAGCCAATCACCGGAACTTACGAAGGCAGCTCAGCGAATGACGATGCCGAATCATATGTTTAGACCAAAAAATTCACTCTGAGTTGCGACATTAAGCAATGCAAAACGTCACGCTTGCATTGCTTAATGTCACAACTGAGACTGCGTTTTTTGGTCTAAACATATGTTTCGGCATCGTCATTCGCCGAGCTGCCTCTGTAAGTTGAGGTGATTGGCTCTCTGAGTGTTGTGCGGGAAAGTAAACACACGGGATTTTTTTAGAGTTTCAAACTGCGCTGCCATGTCGTTTAACAGGAAAGCAATCAAGGCGACGGTTCTACTCTTTCCACTGCTGGGCATCACGCACCTGCTGTTTTGCATCAACCCTAAAGACGAAGACATGGGCCTCAAGGAGGCGTACATGGTCATCAACGCTATCCTACAGTCCTCGCAGGTGAGTCAACCCACAGAGTATCCAACCATAACATCTTCCAAAAACATACTTTCTTAAATTAGTTATAAATTACTTGATAGGCGATAGGCATCCAAAAAACAGCTATCGCGAGAGACGAGGACAAGCAGAAGATCGGACAGGACAAGGAAAGTAGGGGACTGTGCAAGACGGCGGGGCGAGGCGGGACGCTGACCAATCGCAGCAGGCGGCGGTGTCCTAGTCCCTTTGTCCCGCCGTCTTGCATAGACCCCTGGACAGGATAAGGACAAGGACAGAACAAGGGGAAGTAAATGATACGACAGGACATCGACAAGTAGAGAACTGTACAGAACATGGACAATGGCAAAACAAGTAGGAGTAGAAGACTGGGCAGGACAATGACAAGGACAGAATAAGGACAAGTAGAAGACTTGACAGGACAAGGACAAAGACTGGACAAGGACAAGTAAAATACTAGACAGGAAAAGGACAAGGACAGGACAATGACTAGCGGAAGACTGGTGAGGACAAGGACAAGTAGAAGATTGGACAGGACGAAGGTAAAGATAGAGTAGGGGCAATTAGAAGACTGGACAGGGCAAGGACAAGGACAGGGCAGGGAAAAGTAGAAGACAGGACAGGACAAGGACAAGACAAGGACAAGTAGAAGACTGGACATGGCGAGTCTTCTACTTGTCTTTGTCTTTCGGGCTGGCTGTCATTGAGTGTTTAACCACCATCAACTTAGATTCTAAGCTATTTAATTTAGTGCCATCATCGGGCACATCACTTTGTAGGGAACACTATCTATAGTAACCGGCAGCATAACAGAGGCAGGGCGTGGCTTACTGTGCTCGCGATTCTTGCTTTGGGATTAATTCTTGAGCGTTCTTATTGACTAATGCCGACGATAGCAAAGCGAGCGATAATCATATGCACGAGGCTCACCCAATCATGCGTTTCTTTAGCAGGAAGCTGAAGAGGTCTTTGAATTCAAACAACCAGTAAAGGTCGCAATGTAGACACCTTAAAAAAATTTACGTCTGAAGGTTTCTTTTGAGCTTGTTGTTAGGAGCGCCGTAATAATCAATTACAATTTTTGACCTAGACCCGCTTGTTTTGCGGCGCTCCGACGGTAGCAAAGCGCGAGAGCGGGGGAAAAACTAGCGAAAGTGACGTCATCAAGGGGGTCAGATGATCCTTTCTCGCCATTATGCTGGCTCGGGGATGCCCACGATGACGTCACAACGCTGTGGACAGGTAACAGGCGGCAGACTGGATCGCTTCACGGCCGGCGGCAATCGCTGCACGTAGTTTTTTCGTAACAAATGCGGTTTACATTTACTTCTTCCCAAGATAAGTGCGATAACCGAATTCACGGAACAAATAGCTATACAAGTCTGCTCGTAACTCAGATTTGTTGAAAAGTACTGCAGACAAAAAGCTGTAAGGGACTGTTGTCAATTTCCTTCCGTACGTTTCGATTCCAAACTTTTCCAATGCATACCTAGCAAAATGGTATCAGGGAAGGAATAAACTTGTTAGTTGACACAGGTTCGGAATTAACCGAATACAAATCGAGGAAGAATTTTCGTTTTAGTTAACACGTAAGAGTTGCTTGTGCTTTTTTTTTTTATTTTAAGATAAATCTTAATTGTGTACTTTAATGACATGTTTTCTGTTTTTTTGTTGTTTTTTTTTCTGTTTTCCACAGGGAATATTTGTGGCTGTGCTCTACTGCTTTATGAACTCCGAGGTAAGTTTCACGGAGCATTGAACCCTCTGTCAATTGTCTCAAATATGAATACATTGTTAATTAACTTGACTTTTAATGTAAGAATGTGGCTTGTATAAACGACCCTGCTCACAAAAAAAAAAAGAGAAAACAAAAGTGATGCTAGAAAATGTGGACACGCCCTTTATTCTGCGTTAAAGACAAATATAATATACTCAAATATTTTACTATACAAAATAGCCAGACACGAAGCACCACGCTCCTAAAACTGGAAAGTATCAATGCGGGAGGAAATGACAACGGATTCTTTACGAAGAGACAAAAATACCATTTGAAGCTGTCTATTCATCCCCCGGACATGCCTCGAATTAAAATTCCTTGGTTTTGCTTCAATTCGTTCCGAAACGTTTACAAAATTGGACGCTTCGTACCCCAAAGGTATTTTACATTTCTGAAACTAAGCCGCAAATATTCGTTGCAGTTTTGAAGCCCTGAAGCCGTTAACGATTATCGCAATCGTAACTAACTATTTACGTATTAGAACGCAAGTACAGTCTCCGGCGATATGAAAGACCCACTGGGAGCGCGTGGCCGAGGCGGTGGCTGGCGGGGGCGCTGTGAGCGCTCCGGGCAGTTCCGTTCTGCTTCGAGGGGAGTACGCTCACTCGAAGCTCAGCTAAAGCGCGCTCTTATCAGTTTGTGCTGAGCCCCGAGTGAGCGTCTTCCCCTCGAAGCAGAATGGAATTGCCAGGAGCGCTCGTAGCGCCCCCGCCAGCCACTGCCTCGGCCACGCGCTCCCAGTGGGTCTTTCATATCGCCGGAGACTGTACAATATTAAACCATAGAAATATAATTTGGAATTTATTTCCAACATTTGCACAGCTTGCTTGATAAACATTGCTGCGATGTCTCCCCCAAATAGACGGCAAAAAGAACGCGATAAAGATCTAATTATCCGCGTTCCGCCACTGCTAGCTTTGCGCCTGCTGCACGAGCGTTAACTTTGGCGCGCCCCCGAGTTTCCCACGAGCTTCAAGTCGTTCTAGAAAGTGTTGATTTAGTGGTTCTCAATGGCGCTCTGTAAGTTTCTAGTTGGAATCATATATCTATTTTCACGAATTAAAAAGTTAATTAACGAATTTTAAATAATTAGACGACTTATCGCAAAGATTAGCCACCCACATAATGTCCCCCTATTCGTATAACTCACCTGCACAAACCGCATAAGTGTAACTTTCAGGCCTTTTTTTAAGCCCGCGTTTGCCCACGCCGGGTGTGGGCACTGTTAAGTGCGCAGAAACCTCTGACGTCAGGCCACCACAGTGGTGGTGACGTCAGAGGGTCGAGTTGGTTCATAGGAATCAAGACAAGCGATCGTAAGCCTGACCAAACTCGCTCAGCTCCATCCGGTCGTTGTATTTCAGGTCCAAACGGCTGTGAGGAACGCATACCTGCGAGCCGCCATTCGTCGCAACCCCAACAAGGACCGTTCCTTCGTGAGGGGAAACTTCTCGCAGACGTCGACGGTGTTCCTGTCCCACTTCAACGGTTCCACGGTCGAGAACAGCGCCCCCTCGCGGCTGGGCACCAAGATCGTCCGACAACTCCCCAAACGGGCGACGTCTGGCCCTCAGAGGATACCGAGGAACACGGCGGCGGTGGCCGCAGTCTAGTTCCCCGAGAGAGCGTCTAACGCGAAAGAATAACACCGGCAAAGAGGCGCGACAGACAAGTAGGACGAAAGAACAGACCCAGCGATAGTATTTGTACGTGTCAGTTGTTTCTTCCTGGTTCTTGTCTGCTGTCTCCTCGCGCTGTTGTCGTTTCTGGTTAGGCTCTGCCAACTAGCTCTACTCTTCAAAGGAGAGATCGTCCAACGAATGGGCTGAAGACTGCAGCAAGTCGTCATGTGAGTTCTGTCTCGTACACCGTGGGAAGCAAGAAAGATGAACGAATGCAACCGCAATATTGACCGAGCTATACTATATATTGTATCACTTTAAGTCAGAGCGGAGTGCCAAGCAGCAGCAAAAGCGCCATGTCATGGCGTTCGTTCGTCATCTCCGTGCCTTAGGAACCATTGGCTAGAACAATCATGCAAAGATAATGCGCCGCGTCCTTGGCTTTGTATCTGTATTTGCGTTTGTATGTCTCCTAGCCTTTGAATGCGCTCTGACTGTTAGTAATACGGAGTATAGTAACATTTGACTAGCGTACTGGGGGGCTATGTCCGACAAATGTTTTGTTTCTCCTAAAAAGAAACGGAAGTGACACAAGTGATGATATCGCGTCTGATTGGTTAGAGGCTCAAATGACGGAAATTCCCTCTTTCGTCATTTGAGCCTCTAACCTATTTTTAGGAGAAACGAAACATTTGTCAAACACAGCCCCCTGGATTACTCAATACTAAAACCATTTGGAACTGTAAAAAAACGTCGCCAATCCCTTATGGGGTTAATTGTGCTAGGTGGCGTGATCATTAAAAGTCGTCATGTGGAGGTGTTCGTGTAAGCTTAAAGAAGGCCTTTGTGTGCGTGATTTTCTTACATTCCTGTCATTTATGTAGCTCGGACGAAATTGGTATAAAATGTAAAGAATAATACAAATCCCAGAGCGAAAAAAATTATTGACATATTTTTTTAAAGTTATTACAGTTAGAAAAAAGGCAGCCTATATATTCTAGGTAAGATAAGAAAAAAAATTAGCGTTAACGTGAATAGTTTAGATACACAATCAATAAGAATTATTTTCACTAGCAGCACTACGTGTCGTGAGTAGTTTCGAATTCCGCTGAATTGTACGTGACAAATTAATTCCGGCTGCAATTCCCTATGATTTTTTTTAAATTTCCTTTTATACTTTATACAAATTAGTGGCTGGTTTTACTACGACATAAGGGTAATTGTAATTGTAATAGTAATATACCAGTATAAAGTGGTACGGAAACGAAATGACATGGAGCGCGAGCTCTCCACCCCACGCTTCAAAGTCGAACAGCGAAAAGCGCAATGCGTATCGCGCTCGTGGCGTCAGTAGTTCTCGCACGGTAAAGGGTACTGTAGTTGCGAGCCTTTCCGCTTGGTGGTGCCACCGCGCGACAATCTCGCCCAGTAGTAATTTCCGAGGACTGCACGCATCATGACCTATACATAGCTTGCCCGTAGCATCATTTGCGGCCGTGAAGGTATTTTATGCGCCACAGGCGTTCGCTTCACCCTGTTAGTTTCACACCGCCAAAGTAGTGGCTCGAGAGAACCATAAAGTAGAAAAATCCGTCAGTACCCAGCAATGGCGTACGGTTGCCATTACAGAAGTCCCCGCGTCCTCAGATCAAGTTCCTACCTAACGTCTGCGAAGAACGGCGATCTTGATGATAAGGGAATGCACGTTTCAGAAGCACTGTGGAGCTGAGACTGTAATCAATGCCAAAGCAAATCCACAACAACGAGAGTTCGAGGTCGCTGCTTCGAAGCGCTGTTCCGCAGAGCGATCCAGCGCTCGCGCTAGAAATGCATATCTCAAAGCGCGGGCTAGCTCGAGCTTTTAGCTTTGCCTGTAGTCTCAGCTTATGAGCGTTCTCCGCCAAGTCCCAATCAGGACTAAGTAACTCCACGAGAGAGCCATAGTGCCGCGAACTGATGTTGCTTCTGAGGAACTTATGACGTGACGGCGTTCCAATGGAGCTTCACAAACTGCCACCAGACGCGAATTTGAAAGCTGTTCATTCGTTTTAAAAATCGTTTTCTTAACTTTTCTGCCTCCAGCCCAGAAACACTAGTCTAGGTTAGTGTTTCTGGGCTCCCGGTCCAACATAGACCATATCTAAACAAAAAAAAAAAATAAGTGCAAAACATTTCGTTTACGTACCCCTTTCAGTGTACAACAAAGCGGTTTTCTGCTTTTCGCCACATGAGCCATGCCGATCGAATATCGAGGCGAATAGTGGTGGCTGCGCCAATGAACTCTGTCCGTCATTTCTGGGCGCATACCTCGAGTACCAATGCGGAGGCTAAGTTCGTCTGCTTCTTTTTCGAGGGTTGTGGTGACGTCAGAAAGACGCCGAGCTCTGATTGGTTCCGACTGAAACGATAGTGGGTAGACCTCAACGCAAGCTGCCCTTCAGGTCAGCTCTTCAAGAGCTAACCAAAGCTCGGCGTACTTACGTCACGAGAACCCACGCAATAGAAGCAGACGAACTTGCGCTCATTATGGGACGCCAATGCCGTGTCAGCGTTCGGCGTGAACTCGGCTCAACTCGCGTCGAGAAAAAGTGCTGTGGCGGCGTTAGGTAACTAAAAGAATTAGGCAACTTAAACTTGTTGATAATGCATTTAATGAAAAGGTTCAAGCGATCTGGATAAGAATAACGATAATAATCCCCGGAGGAGGGGAGCAAGGGGGACAAAGGACAAACACAAATCTCAAAAACAGAGCTAGACTTAGCTTCTTAAATTATATCGTCAGAAGAGACCTTTTTCAAAACCCCATCGAGCAACATTGTCGGGTCGCCATTTTTGTGTGCACGATAGCGTGTGGTGAAAATCAGAAAAAAAAAAAACGCTTTGTTTCACACTTATTCGCCTGTTCTGTTTCCAGGGACTCGAGATCCTGGAAGGAGTGAGCACTGGACATCTATGAACACTCAATCCTGCCGTCTATATCTCGTGGCTGGCATGTCAGGAACGTGTGCGTCAACAGAGCGAAAACAAGGCGATCAACACGGACCAATTTAATTCTCGTGTACCTTAAAGGGTCACTCAAGCGTTTTTCGTTGAAGGTTGCTTTCGATGGCATAATGTTTGTGACCAACTCGAGATGGCTGGACGTCCTAGTTAACTCGCAGCAATAAAAATACGCGCAGGATCATTTTTCTCTTGTGGGGCAGGGGAGCCTTTTCGAGTTCCTACCAGCTCCGTAAAATTTGACCAATGACGTTACCGGATGTTACAATTATTGCTCTTTTTAGTCGCGCTGTGCATTGTATTTTGACAAACGTCCGACGGCGCCGCCCCCCCTGGTGTCTGCTCCAATGCGCAGAAAAAAGGGGCGTGCCCGATCATTCATTCGATTTTAGTATAGAAATCGGCCGCCCATGACATTAATCTCGGTTCTTTTTTGAGAATGCTTAAAGTCCGTAGATTGAGTTATCGCAATAAACAGGCGACCTGAGATTCCACCTGAGTTCCCCCTCAAAAGTCACCATCTACTTTCCCGTGAAGCACCTGGAAGAGCCAACCGCTTTACTCCACACAGGGAGATCGGCATACGTAAGGCTTCAAATGCGCGTAGACCAAAAAAGGTTTGTGTTATTACATTGAGCTTCAAGTTTTAGAGGATAACGTCGGTGCGCAAACGGGGTTCTTGTTTACTGAAAAGGGGGGGAAGGGGGGGGGGGGGGGCGGCAGGGGCTAATGTTGGCTCTATAGACCGACACGCTGTGTACAAACAAGCCCGCGTTTGCCCACACCAGGTGTGGGCACTGCGCGTGCGCAGAAACCAGATTCGCGTGAAGCGAAGCGTCTGCGCATGCGCAATGCCGTCGACAGCGCCACCGCGGCTGCGTGACGTCAGAGCCGCGTGTTGGTCTTAAATCCAAATGGAGCAGACGCTGCGAGGTAATGGGACCAATGAAACAGCGTGGAAAGCGCAAGTCACTGGGCCTTTTCTGTTTATGTTTGGCTCAGCGATGATAGAACCCGTACGGAAACCTGAAAAAAACCATGATGGTGCGCTTTTGACAATCTATGATTGGTCTCGTCAGCTCGTAGCGTCGGCTGCGTTTATACGAAGGGCGAAACTAGGTATAAACATATTTTATACAAGGAAGAACACGAGCAAAAAAAAGTAGTACTTTTTTTAGCAAATTAGTTTGCTGAGCTTGATTTCTACCTTCCCCTTCGTTTATCAGTTGCGCAATGTTCGATTGCAACCAAATCAGAACGCAAAAAAAAGAAAAAAAAAATTTAAAAATAGCGTACCGTTGCAATCAAATCAAAAAAGCAAAAAACAAATTTCGTGATTTGCAAAAAAAATCAAGCTTTTTTGTTTTTTTAGTATGGTGGGTATTAAATCAATAAAACGTTGTTAATACAATTGTACTTTATATTTAATGTGATTCTTTCTGACGCGCTATTATTAGTTATGGAACAGATTGCGCGATCAATCTCTCATGTTCAAAGATGCACCTTTTTAAATTTACGGACTTAAATTTAAATTTTCGGATTTCACTTAAACCAAATAAATTTGATTCAGATAAAATAGATGCGATGTAAATAAAATAAACCCGAATTAAAATAAAATAGATAAGATGTATTTTAATTGGGATTTTTTTGCCGCCTTGTTTGCGTAGACATAAACGCTCGGTCCATACGTTTTTCACCTTAGATCACAGTGCAGCCAACACTAGGAGCCGACCTGGCCTATCGGGCCGTGCCAAAAAGGGCAACAAGACGGCGCTGGTCATTTCTTTAGCACGTCTGAGCTATCATCGGCTAATAAAATCGAGTGCATTGTCTGGCGTCACAAGTAAGCGTATTTACGCGTACACGTTTGCATATCTGCCAGCCTGTGACGTACTGTGCTCTGAATTTCGTTGAAACGAGGTATAAAGTGCAACGAGGAATTTCACGTCATTCACGTTCTTGCTGGATTCTCGTATCGCAAAACCAATAAA